CTGGCTGTCTGTCAGCACATGAAGGCATCAGTCACAACTATTTGGCTATGCAGCACATAATTCAGAGCTCCGTTATACAGACGTCCACCGAGTCCAGTCATCCATCAGACTGCTTTTTGCCAAGTCAACAGATTCTCGTGGTGGTGGGCGGTCAGGGAAAAGGCCTCTCAGGTTGTGTTTCAGCTTTCGCTGTGTGTGTGTGTGTGTGTGTGTGTGTGTTTGGGTTTTCGCTGGGTGTAAAGTATAGCTCTTTACGGCAGCAGTAAACTATGTCACAGACCAATATAGCCATCTATTCCTGCAGGACCCCTGATTGTTCCAACATGGGAAATCTCAGCTTTGTTCAATTAAGATTAAGCCTCCGCTAAGGAGGTCGTGGTTTTTGGTTTGCGTACATGCAAGTCATTCTGCCTGTATACACGATAGCTCCTAAACTTTTGAACAAATTGCATGAAATCTTTGTAGGGGTGTAGAGTGAGCTTATGTTCACAGTCCATTACAAGTTAGCTTAAATTCAACAAGGTATACAAGGTCAACTTATTGATTTATTGGTTAAAAATTGGCAACAAGCATTATAGCTTAGACACTATGATTGAAGAAGTGTGGTGTGTGCTGTCCATATATGGAAAGTACCATATATCATGCCGCATTTGATCTCTGACCTCCCTTTAAGGTCAACAGATATAGTTGAAGGTCAAATTGATTAAAAAGTCCTATAGGAGTATAAAAAAAAAGAAAAAGAAAAGAGCAAATAACAAAACCCTACACATTGCTTTAGTTTTTAACTACACTAAAAACATCTTGGAGCACAAAGAAAACAAAATGAATATATAAAATAGAACACCATTACCTTAAAAGTAAATACTGCACAGGGAGACTCCGCTGCCTTGGCGGATGTTAGCACCCTCTGAGTGCTTCTTGTTTATAACCTGGCCAGAACGCCTTCCAACATCAACTCATCTGATAATATCTAACTATTAATCAGCTGCCCTAAAGGTGGACCTATTACGCCTGCCTTTTTTTCCCCAGACACATAAATACTGCTGCGGTGCTAAACATGTTTAAACACCGAGGTCAGTATATGTGAAAGTAATCCCAGTAAGCCAAAAGCTCAGGCTTCAGAGAGTTTTTATCCTACTCTTTGATCTATATGATGTCAAGGAGAAGACATATCCCTATTATGGTTATCACAGCTCTGGCTGTGATCACAGAAGCTCCACCCACCAGCAAACCTGTTTATGAAGGGCAGCCAATCAGAGGAAAGTTTTCTCAAAGAGGATCTATACAGTTTGTTTCAGACACCAGAAGAGTCTCTTCCACTTACTAGAACACCTACTCCACTTGGTTTCGTTCTTTTTCCATTACAATTGAGTACCACCAAATGTGCGTGACGCCACATTTTCTACTCAGCTTGCTTGGAACCCCGGCCGAGCAGCTAGTAAAAAAGTACCCGTTACCAGGTACTATCACCTAATGGAAAACCCTAAACACTGAGTCGAGTCGAGCCGACTACATACTAATGGAAAGGGGCTTTAAGAGGCTCCAACACGATTCAATATCAGGTAAATAAGGATTATTTTGAACTGTGAATCATGCAAAGCTACTCTAGTAGAGTCCAGGGTATAAACATAAAATGAAGTGAGTACTTTGATATCCAGGATTTGAGCTGTCAGCATCTAATTAGATTTTTTTTTAATCCAAGCAGATTGTTGTGGTCTGCAGCAGATGTCATATAATCTCATTAATAAAGTGAATTCCAAAAAAGTCCCCTAACACACACACGTTTCCAAAGACAAATGATATAAATATGAAACTACAATATTTTTTATTTTACACCTTCAGCCTGCCAAGCTAAGTTAGTGCTGATAAAGCTACTTTCAGCTGCTGTTAGTCACCGGGAGTCACCTCCGGGAGATTTGTGTCTCTCCTGGGACTGAACCAGGCATCTCACTCATTAGACAAATGCGTAAACCTCTACACTATAGAAGCACTTAGGTTAGGCTGGTTATGACCAGAAAAAACAACAAAGAAAAATACTGACAGCTTTGACTATCAACAAGGCTGAACTAACATCCTTCCCAGAGTAACAGCTGCATGACGTTCTCTCTCAGAGGACTGTGTTTCAATTCTAAGGTCAGCCTGGGCTGACAAATGGTAAACGTCCTGCTTCTTACATAGCACGTTTCTACTCTGTGTGAGCACTTCTTAAACAACATCACTCATTTACCCACTCACACACTGGAAGAGCCAGAGATCGAACCACCAGCCGTCGGATAAATAGATCACCTCCTCTAGTCCGTAACACAAAGGAGACGTGACCACAGAGCACATGCCATACAACACGTGACCGGGATACACACACAATGATCAGTATATTACTCAGTTTCACAAAGCAAAGGCGACACACTCAAATAATGGTTCTCTGCCCAGAAATCGAAGCAGAAAATATTCAGGTGGCTTCATAAGTCGATCCACTCATCGGTAAACCTGCTGCTCACTAGTGGAATTGGAGCTGACTTCGAAAAACCCACAGATGTTCGAACTGCTGTCACGCAAGTGTTAAAAAAACAAAAAAAACAAAAACAAAAAAAACCACCTCTCATTTGAGAAGCTGAAATGGAATTTTTGCCTGAAAATATGTTTTCATTTTTAATTTACAACCCTTAAGTGGGGATTTGCTGGTAACCCACAGCTCTGGGATGTTACATGGGCCATATTTTACCTTCTGAACAACTGACTGATCAAGGTTGCAGTTGTGGGACAGGGTCCCTTGTCATGGGCTAGACTTTCTAAAAACCAGCTCAGAGGAGGTGAGGGAGTCTTGCTCCCTCTCAGACCACTTAAACTTAAAAATAGTGAAAAGTTATTACAGGTTCCTTTGTGTAATGATGCCAAAGAGATTTTTCCTTCACCAGTTTTAACTGTAAGCCGTGCCTGAGCCAGCCCATGCGCCATCAGGACCCCCAAACTGCCTCGCCTAGATTGAATTCATTCCTGCTATCACCTCTGCCACAGAATTACACCTGTGCTTTTCCCTGCTGCCACATGTCAAAAGGTCCCCCGGCTGCCTTCCCTTCAAATAGATGTGGTGTGAACCCCTGAGGTACGCTGGCTGCACTCTCACAGTGTCTGCATGGCTTTAAAAAAAAATCCCCAAAGTGGAAGCACCAGAGAGATAATCCTCCAATGTCCCAGATCTTTACTGGGACTGAGCCCCTGGTGGGAGCCAGCGAGGGGAATTGAAGGCAGCGGCGGCCACGTTTCAATCAGAGGAAAGAGTTTGGTGATGGGGGCATGAGAGGATTTGCAGCAGTGCGGTGTCCCCCATGAATACAAAATATTACTAAGAAGTACTTTAAGCAAAGAGCTGCTTTCTGCCCTGTGAACACTGGGATATATTCCTCACTCACCGCCCTGGCCTTACAGTCTGCGTCCAGCACCATTAAGACCCAGGCACAGTTTACGGTCACATCTTTCTAAATTAGCTGATCATTCCTCTGACAGAGAGCTGGGGGATTTACACATATAAGTCATTTCGCAGGGAGAAGAAATCTCTGATTATCTGTGTGTGATTTTTTTAAAAAAAATGAGGAATCTTGGATCTCTACCTGGACTTCTGAAAACTCTGAAGGTCAATTTTCATCACTTGCATCAACTCTAACAATGGAAAGGCCAAATCATAAGCACAGAGAATACCTGTCAGGTTAACCTCCAATGAAAACAATACTGTGTAAACACCATTATGCATCAAGTCAGGGACAAAAAGCGCCCCAGTCTTCTGTCTCACACTGGACTGCATAAAATGAGATGAGAGGTTGACTCAATTTGCATGCACTGCTTTTACTGCACATACTCAAATTCGTTCAATATTTTTGCCTCACAGTCATGCAAAGTTCAGCAGGACAGCTCCCAGATACGAAAACACGTCCTTACTGTGAAACTTTGTCTGGACCATGTGAAGCATATGTGCTGGAAGCTCTGATTGACCCAAATGCAAAACAATGGTGATGCCCACATCTATACAGGGACCTCACTCTCACACACAAGCCTGCAGTGGTCCCTGACAGGACGGGATCAGAGGCTCGGAGGGCCCCGTAAACTTACCGAGCTTTCCCCGGGACTCCTCCAGCTTCTGGATCTGGTTCTCCAGGAAGAACATGGCCACTGCGAACGCCAGCAGCGCCAGAAGCTGCAACTTGGGCGGCATCATGACTCTGAGCAGCCCCATCAAATCATACAGAGAGAGATGATGGTCAGTCCATGCTCAGAGGAAGAGGAGGAGACACCGAAAACACACACACAGCAGCGACGATGGTGGTTACAAAGCGGCTGAGAGTGTGTGCATGGCCCTCTCTCTCTCTCTCAATCTCTCCCCCTCCGTGTGTGTGGATATCTCCCAGCGTTCAGATCCTGTGGTTACCTCAAACGCGACGTGTTCAAACTCGGCTTGGTTATTTCATTCTGTTAAATCTCGGCAGAGCGGGAGGAGGGGTCGTAGAGCCTTAGAGATTTCTCCAGAGTACGTATTTGTCCCTCCGGGATTTGTTTGCGATGGTACCAGCCGCTGTCGCCTGCGTCCCCCACACAGAGGTGTCCCGTCCCATCCAGTGTGTTCACAGCCGCACCACGGACACACTGTTACTACCACTCAGGCCATTGGGTGTATTAACAGTCCACCACACAGCAGAGATCTCCCATTCGTCGACTCTCTCTGCCTTTTCCTCTCGGATTGGACCGTTTTCCGTTGTGGGACCCAGAATTGGACACCAGGGGTCGCACTTCCATTAGCAACCATGAAATGACCGAGGCGAGGAAGAATTTCTTTTGGCTGGCTTGGTTTATGCCAAAATACAAAAAAGCATAAAATTAAAAAGAAATATTATTTTTACTTCAAATATTTACACATTATGCTTTCTAAGCTTTTTGTATGTATTTTATCATTAAAGGTTAAAAATGATAAATAAAAGTCAGAAATGATTATCACTAACGTTTATCGGACAGGCGCGACCACGGACCGGCCTTCAGTGGAATAAAGAGGTCCTAATAGTAGTTTTCGCTAACAAAGCAGGCTCCAAAATGTCGGGAGAGGTGTATCTCCTGTGGCTCCTGTCGCTGTTACAGACGGTGAGTTTATTAACTGTGAGAAATGGCAGCGCTGACCGCTGTCACAGCTGCTTACAGTGAGTGTGAGCGGCTGCGGGGCTGTTTGCTGGTGATCTTTAGGTTCAGCTTTTAATGAGCCACATCCTGCTGCACCCGGAGCTTCAAACTGACGTGGCTTATCCTGAAAACAGCTCCGAGTCCCGGGGGAAGTGATACCTTTATAATGTGCTTGTTAGATTTTTGCTACTTATTATGTAGTTACTTTTTCGAGTCTTGTGTATTTTTAGGAGAAAGTCGATGACAAAGAGAAGACTTCCGGTGTACTAAATTTAGTGTACCTGAGCGCTTCTCAGTGCCGGTGCCGTGCTGAAAAGTGATTGGTAGTATTTCAACTGTTGTAAATGATTTATTTTCTATCAAAAATACATCTTATAAATGATATCCAGTCGTTTTGAGCTACAAGGAATATTTCTGTCACAAGGTAGAATCTGCAAGTTTTTATGTGCCCTTTATTTATTTGGGTAAAAATAGCTTCATTGACATTAGCTGTCTTTTTCTTTGTAGAGAGTGAGATGTAGCCAAGATGGCAGCACAAATAGCAAGAAATATGGCATCATATTTCTATAACGATATTAAAAATGACTGGATTGTTTATAATGTAGATCATAGAGTGGGTACAATAAAGCCGGGTCATAAAGATGCTTGTGGAACAGGTCATTTTATATAGAACTTCCTTCATAAACCCTGTTGACTACAGTCTATTGAATAATATAAGCAAAAGCCTTTGACATAAAAACACACAGAATCATTGGAAATCACAATTGTTTGTACTACAACAGTTTAAAATCTTGTAGTTTATTTAGAAGATAACCTTTCATGCTAAAGTTAAAGGGAGACAATCATCAGAATGAGATCTTCCTCGACCCAAATATGAAAGTGTTTGTGGGGTGGTCGAATGTAAGAGGACACTGATGCGAAAGCGAATCACGTTTTCCTGCCGGGGGCGTCTTCAAGGAAAGCTGACAAAGTTGATTAACAAACAGCAGCCCGGTGGTCTGTTATTCACAGGCTGATTTAAGCAATCTAACCCTGAAAACTTCCACGCAGAAGACTTTTGCTACTTCAGATTATTGTTATGTGTTTTAAACTGGTGTGTTAGGATCTTTGGGGATCTCGTTCAAAGGCATCTGGCGTATGAAATGCGTGATTTTATGTTTGTTTCTGTTAGAGTAAATATGCATCATTTACAGTTTAAAATGATTCTTATTTTATCTTATACTGGGGGCTTGGTGGAAACCCCAGTTCATCCTTTGATGATAAAAGCCCGTCCTTTAAGCTAGCTTTCTTCTGATTGGCTGCCCCTCATAAACAAAATGTTTAATCAGCTGGTAGGTGAGCTGCTGTGCTGGTAGCCAGAGCTGCTTGCCTGAGACGACCATGTTAGGGCATCCTCGCTTTATGACAGCATACCGAGCCAATAATGGAGAAAAAACCAAACAAACTGAGTGTTTGGAACAGTGTGAAGCCTGAGCTTGAAAGTACCACACACACTGTCAGGTTAGGTGGTACTCTCTGTCACGTTAAGGAGACACACAGAAATATAGCATGGGGCAAAAATCATGTGACATAATTTTGCACTACGTAGGAGCTGACAGCGGGGTATAAGAGTTTCTAGCAGTTTCCAGTCCATTTCAGAATTCAGTTGAATATTTTATTACTCGTTTTTAAGAGTCTCAATGGTCTGACGCCCACTTAAGTGAACTTTTGAGACCCTACACTTCTATCAGAGCACCGAAGTTTACAAACCATCTGCTCTTGGATATTTCTTGATCCAGGTTTAAAAGCAGAGGCGATAGAACCTTCTCACTGTTGGTTCCTAATCTTTCTAACAACTTACCTTTTCACAAAAGAGCTGCCTGCTCTTCCTATCATTTTCAAACACTTTTAAAAACCCATTTGTTCTTGCTTTGTACCCTGGTTTTTATTCTGCAAACAGTCTTGTGTACTTGTTTTATTAGATTTTTAGTGTGTACACATTGTACACACATTGTAGTGACTGTTAAGTGTATATTTTGTATAACCTGTACAGCACTGTAGCGTGTAGCATGTTAATATGTTTCACTATACAAATATTACACATATAACTCAATGTTCCCTGAGTGACAGTAGTATTAATACCATTTGAGGTACTCATTTAGATTGTACTTTGGATAAAAGCTACAAATTATAATTGGTGAAGTGTATACTTTGATTTTACTCAATAATATAATTCAGCTTTGCCTAGAATAATAATTAATAATATATTTTCCAGTTACATTGATATCTAAATTTGTTTTGAGATGGCATAACTGTCCTAGTACTCTAAAATCTTATATGACAAAGTACTTAATTGTTGCTAATTTGAACTTTTTAGTTGTAGTTGTGCCGTTGGAACCTAACACTTCTGTCCTTTATGAAAACATTTGTTTCTTCCTCCCTTTATCTTTGTCCTTTTACCTCCCTTCAGCTGTCGGCATACGGTGCCGATCTTTCGTCTGAGGCTTGCAGGGAGCTGGGTTTCTCCAGCAACCTGCTGTGCAGTTCCTGTGACCTGCTAGGGGAGTTCAGCCTCGCCAAGCTCCAGCCTAATTGTCGGCAGTGCTGCCAGCAGGAGGCCCAGATGGACGGGCGCAAGGTAAAGAGAAAAACGGAGGGCTCACGGATCGGGTCGACAGAAAGCAACTGCCTGTCTAGATTAAGGCACAGCGTGGAGTGTGACACAAGGAGATTCAATCAGAGTAGATGAAGTGTAACCACAACCAAGGTTAAATAAAGAGCATATAGTGACATTAAAAATTCATGTTTCTTAACTGTGGGGGTCTTGAGCTATGAATGAATGCTTAGTTTTAAAGAAGACATTTTGTTCTGTTCCTCAGTTGTTTGCAGAAGGGTTTACAGGACCTCTGTCGAAATGTGTCACGTTTACTGACAGGGTCATGTCCCTCAACGCTCGAACTGCTACTAAAAACAGCCGAGCTTTATCCAGCCTTCCGGTTGACACTGTTTGCAGCTGTGCCACACACAGCTTGTTAGTAGCTGTCCGTCTCAATCTTTCTCAGATGTTCAAAGTCGAGGCTCCTTAACCTCAGCTCGGGGTCGGCGTGTCAGGTGTTACCCTGTCTGTAAGCAGTGAGGGCAAGTTACTGTATGCTCGCTGCCCCGGATATTATAGCTTGCTTGGGAGGACTCTCTGCTGTGCTCTGGCAGATAAACACTGACTTAAGTGATGGTGGAAAAACAATGTAATTTTTCCCTGATTAAGCAGGGCCCCGTGTGTGTGTGTGTGTGTGTGTGTGTGTGTGTGTGTGTGTGTGTGTG